CTCTCTCTCTCTCTCTCTCTCTCTCTCTCTCTCTCTCTCTCTCTCTCTCTCTCTCTCTCTCTCTCTCTGTGTGCGACCTTGCAACCTCCTCGCCTTCCTTCATGGCCCCCTCCTCCCCTCCCCCTCCCGAACGACCTTCTGCAACCTCTCCTCCCCATCGTGCAGCCTGCTCCTACCCGTCCCACTCCTGCCCGTCCCACGACCTCCTCCTCCCCTTTGTGCAACCTCCTTCCCCTCGCGCGACCTCCTCCCTTTCCTTGCCCAACCTGCACTTCCCCCTTCCACATCGTCTTCAGACCTCCTCCTCCCCCTTGCGAGACCTTCACCCACCCCTCTTCTAGCCTCCACCAGCAGCTCCTCCTCCTTGGACGATCTCCTCCTCCTCTCTTCTGACCTCCTCATCCCGCTCGCGCGACCTCCTCCGAGTCCTCCGACCTCTTCCAACCTCCACACGACCTCCGCGCAACCTCCTGCTCTTCCTTGCACGATCTTCACTTCCCCCTCACACATCGTCTTCCGACCTCCTCCTCCCCCTTGCACGACCACCATGTGACCTCCTCCTCCCCTCTTCCAAGCTCCTACCCCTCGTGCGACCACTCCTCCCCCTCGTGCGAACCCCTCCTCCTCTGCCTCACGCATCCTGTTCGAGCCAGGCCCACCCCAAGCACGACCATTATCTGGCCTGGGTGACATTGAGGGTGCTTGTTTTAGAACATGAGGGACGCGTAACATTCTTGCGGGCATCGGCCAAGGCATCAGCACTCCGTCGGATCCTATGTAAATCAGAACTATTTCATTATGGTCGCTGCTGGATTCGAACTCACCTATGGAATTCAATAGTTTCATATGCACATCAACTCAACAACCTCCCAATGTGCAAAATGAGAACAAACCTTCCACAAGAATATAGGAATATACACCGCGACGGATAGCTATATTGAAAAGAAATCCCGAAGTGAGTATAAACTATAGAACTGTCAGATGCACGCGCGTGAGAGAGAGAGAGAGAGAGAGAGGGAGAGAGAGAGAGAGAGAGAGAAAGAGAGAGAGTTTTTCATCTATAGGATGAGCAAAATGGGAATAAATCTGTCACTAGAACATGGAAATACACTGCCACATTTTCGGTCTTTGGCAATGTACAGTGTATATTTCCATGTTGTGGTTTCCATATTCTAGGGGAAGATACAATCCCATTTTGCTCATTTGATGAAGCACGGCAATGTTGGTCTGTGTGTGTGTGTGTGTGTGTAGGATGAGCACAGTCCGAATGAATCTTCAGCCAAAACATGGAAATATATACTGCCACCACACTCTTTTTTTTTTTTTGCTTGTGTGTGTGTGTGTGTGTGTGTGTGTGTGTGTGTGTGTGTGTGAGAGA